CCATTGAAGAACTACAAAAGGAAAGGAATCTGATGGACACAGGCATAATGGCGATTGGCAAAAAAGAAAAGAAAAAATGATGCTGTCATGAAGTAATGTTTTGTAATAAATGTTAATATTGTTGTTTCAAGTTTAATGTTGTAAAAATAATGTTTTGTATATATTAATAATGTTGTTTTGATGTTTAATGTCGTAAAATAAGGGAAACTTTATCAGATCTGAGTATGAGAACCGCACATGATAATTTTTCGCTGATTTCGGTGATACTTCCGAAGATCGGTTCTCCCGATTTTCGCGGAGGACACATGTGTACACTTCGTGAAGTGCATTGTCCCGAGGATTAGTCCCAACATTCAGATGGTACCTGTAATAGCGCGCCCCGAAGAACTAACTTATTGCTAACGCATGGCGCATCTTCTACTGTTTTCCCTGTGAGCTCTCCTGCAGCTGTCCTCGGTGCTAACGTAGTTGGGGGAAGGCACGCTGCTCTCGGCCATTGATGGCTCATCGACTCTTCTTTTTATGTTTAGTACATGGATACAACATCGTCCTCACTATATTCAAAAGCTAAAGCAGTTATGCTGAAGAATGCGAAGAACAGTTGTGGACAGGAAAATTTTGCCTAAACTTGTTGCTTTTTTGTTGTAGACCGCTGTTCTTGACTACAAAAGATCATACAATGTTGTTTTCAGTTTCTGTGGGATTTCTCAGCAAGTTCCCGGTGAGTTTTGTTTGTTTTATTCTAATTTTGCAACTAGATTCGGCACCCTGTCCTCTCGATGCTATTCCATCCGAAGGATAGCGCGCCACAATGCCAAACCGCGTTGCGACCGCGCGCTCGTAAAGGCCGGAGTGTGCGAAAAGTCAAGTGCGAGTCTGTAGTTTACCGTCACCCGACAGGCGATGACAGGCGCCTACACGCTGGAAAGCACTGTAAGCCTTGGCGCGCTTACACTCATAACTTAATGTTACAGAAGCGATGCAGCCGGCTTTCACGATGTCTAATAAGCACCTGTTTTTCTACTCTCCCTCAAAGCACCAGAGACCACTGCCGACTGATGCAGAACTGCGCCACAAGGTAGTACCTCTTACTCCCCTGCTCTCCCTTAAGACCAAGCGACCGGACCCAAACCATTCCCTTCTGTGGCTGCGTTCGCATCTACAGCATTCGCTACCGTCGCGAAGTCTGAGGCAGTTTGAAACTTCGCAACGGCAGCGCCCCGGTTGCGGGTTTGATGCAGGTGAAAGCACGTGCATCGATCGACCCAAGCGATGCCGCCACCAAGCCTGAACGCTGCCTAAGGCTGCCTTAGCTTTTCTCAATCACGGGCGAACCAACAATCATATGCACTACTATTCTTAAGCCCTGCTACCTGCACTGCACTTCTGCGACTGCGGCTACCAAATGCACGAAGACACTTTATGGATCATTTTATAGCGGGAATCACCTATATAGTCAAGGTGCGCGACTGTCACTCATGAATTGTAGGGATCGTATACGAGTGTCAGGGTGTTGAGTGAGCCATCAGAGAAAAGACAGCAGGATGTTCCACCATTCAGAACACTACATACATAAGACACTTGCTGGTTCTTATTGAGATTATATAACCACTGTTTATTACTACTTGGGAAATAAGTTACTGTCAACTATCACAGATATTCTACTCGTAGGTCAGACTCTGAATTTGTTCCGAGAACTTCGACGGCGCGTGGGATCCATAGGTCAGTAGTGGTGCTGAAATGTAGAATTGAGCAGAGAATTCACGAAGGTAAACCTCTTTGTAAGAGGTTGTGGCAGAAACAAGGTGCCTCCCGCCGCTAGAGAGAATGATCTAACCTACCCAATATTCCCTGCTCTATTACCAAAAACCCTCCCCTCTCATTTTATGCCTGCCTTCTTCAACTATTCTTGCTTTCTACAATTTTTCCGGACTTTTGCTCAAGAATAAGGGTCGAGTGGGAAAGAGGAAAAAATGTCAACAACCGAATTTGTTCGTCTCAAAGTGGTAAGAGGCTAGTAGATTTCAGGAAGGTTGTAGGTAGGATGAAACATGGGAAGCAAGTCGTACCAGAGGAGGAGATTCGAAAGGTAGGCCAAGTATTGGAAAGATTGCCCGCACGTGCTCTTCACGTCTCCCCTGCCACTCGTAAGTATGCTTGACTGCTTAACCAGCGAGAACGGGCTTCTCGCTGCTCAAACGTGCGCTGGTGTCACACTATTTGGCTGCGTTTATACTTTGCGGCAGCGTAGCGTAGCGCTTCCAGCGTACGCCAGCGGCAGTGCCGGGGAGAGGATGCATATCGATCTAGCGTTCCCAGCGTCACCAGCGTACGCTAGCGTACGCCAGCGTTTCTCCAGCGTTTCACCAGCGTTTTGCTAGCGTTTGCAGCGGCAGGGGAGTAGAGACTATGGGAGAGCTGGAGGGTACAAAACACATCGATTGCGCGTCTCTCACTCGCCCTCAGTCTCTACTATACACATCGATTGCGCGTCTCTGACGGCCACATAGTCTCTACAATACACATCGATTGCGCGTCTCTCACTCGCCCTCAGTCTCTACAATACACGTCGATTCGCGTCTCTGACGGCCACATAGTCTCTACAATACACATCGATTCCGCGTCTCTGACGGCCACATAGTCTCTACAATACACGTCGATTCCGCGTCTCTCACGGCCACATAGTCTCTACTCCCCTGCCGCTGCAAACGCTAGCAAAACGCTGGTGAAACGCTGGTGACGCTGGGAACGCTAGATCGATATGCATCCTCTCCCCGGCACTGCCGCTGGCGTACGCTGGAAGCGCTACGCTACGCTGCCGCAAAGTATAAACGCAGCCTTACTGCTACTTAACAACCCTCTTACCTGGAATCATCCATTCATTCCATTCATACCATTCATAATATTTTCATTGAAGGCAGTCTCAAGCCAACCGAAATGAGGAGGTGTTGCCGGCATGACTTCATTGCCTTCTCTTATGTACTGAATGGGACGAAACATCCAGCCAAGGGAAATAAAAACGAAAACAAGCAAGCCCACCTCAAGTTGAGCTTCACTGTATGGGATGTACGGGTAAAGAAAGTGTGCATAGTACCTGTGATAGGGTTGCATTTCAGGTGGCACGAGCCTGCCGATTTTGCCTGTCATCATTCTGAAAGTGCATATGCGCTGACAGTGAATTAGTAAAATCATTGGGTTGTCTCATAAAACCTATGAAGATTTTTCTTTTTTGATTTTGCCTCTCTCTTCGGAATCTTCCTCTAAGGGTCACCCTGCAGAAAGAGCGTGTATGGGACCAAAACCTTCCCCCGACATCTAGATGCATTTGTGCGCGGTGATCGTTGCATTTTCTAGACAGGTTCTAGCGATGACGTCTTGGCGATGTCAGCGAGGGCAGCCACAGCCCCTCTACGGGCGCTGATTTACGTCATGCTCATAAGTTGCATCGCCGCTCATATGCTCTCCTTTCTCTAACAGTTGACGGAACATCACCCTTCTGATTTCAAAGGCACATCCGCTAATGTGGAAGTAGATAGTGGGTCTAAAAAAGCGGGCAGGGGGTACTTGACTTACTGGTGGAAAAAGGAAGAGGGAAAACTGTACTCACTAATAGTAAGGCCTCCGTGATCGAGTGCAAGACCCGAAAGTCAACGATAAGTACAGTCCTCATCATTGCGGACCGGTGGGGCGTGTCAGTGCGGCTGCGTTTGGCGCGGTGCCAAAGTCGTTCTGCACCAGTTGTTGAAGCGGGCAAGTGACATTACTGTATTATATCCTTCGTATTACTCGTTTTCTACCACTTTTTGTCGCATACGCGTTTCAACAAAAAGGCTGAGAACGGCTTCAACAGTGTGCACACTCATACTGGCTGACTCGGCTCCGCAATGATGAGGACTGTACAATATTATCACAAAGACACGGGCAACAAGTGTTAGTATGGGCTGTTGGGTGTCCATTCGCGTACCACCGGGTCTTTCTCCTCTTTGTTGTAGGGAGCGTATGGACAGCGCCGTTTTAGGCCCGCGACGTGATTTTCGCAAAGTATTTATAAACAGCTATTATGAAGATCGATTGCATATCAGGCTAAAAAAGGAGGTGCCTAACCTCTGAGGAGGCCTTGATCGTTTTTTGTGTGCCTCTCTCTTCCCATCTGCTTACCCTCTGCGAGCCTCAACCCCACTCTTCCCCGATACCTGATGTGTTGCAAAAGTGTTTCCTCGACTTTCCAAGTTACTCCCCCCAAATCGGCGCACGCTCCTCCCCTCTTCGTCGTAGCGGATGTGTCCCTCTTGCCGACCTTGTTGGTCCCTCGCTGACCTCAGTTCACTTCTTTTTTCTGTGATGCTCCGTGATTTTTTTGTTCCAACCCTGCCCACACCCGAAACCTTGACCGCGTTGGGACCACCCAATGTTACCACAACTACTCTAAAGTGTTACTGATAAGTTGATAGATACTTTTGCTAGGGAAATATGAGCATTCACCTGTGAAAATATGGAAGATCATCAACAGATTCGAACACTCCTTGTGCGCGCTTTTCTGCTCGTTCACGCTCACGCTCAGTTTGTTGTGGTCGAATTAATACGAGACATACCATTAATACGACCATCATCAACATCATTGCGCTGGAAGAAATCTAGCAGTATTAAGATGAATACAAATATTTCTGTAAATAGGATATATAATGCATAATCAATAGAATAATAACGTAAGCCTTGGAATGCTTGAAGAAGCGCGCAGCGCTGTCGCGACGTAATGATCATTACGAGTCGAGACCGCTTTTAAGGAGGCTGGTGGTGTCCAGTTTACTTTGTCGCAGCGCATTAGTGAGTGATGTAGCTATAAGAGGAGTGTGGCCACAGCTTGACAAGGAACCTCTAGCGCAATGAGTTTCCATACAAGGCGAGGATAAAGGAAATGCATAAAAATTCAAAAGTAATGTGGGCGAGGCCGACCTTCTGCCAAGGAGGTGATATGTGTATTTGTCGCATGACTGGCAGGAATCACTGCCCTACCTTTGTAAGTGTATGTTCCCTCTTTCCTGATCTTCCCTCATTGTCAGATGGAATTTTTCCCTTTCTAACGAACTTCAAAAACAGCACAGTCCTGTTCGCTACGAGTGCTAAGCGTGTTAGGCGTCTAAGTTTGGCGCGGCGTCAGCACGTTCTCCACCACTTGTAAGAGGGCAGGCAACAACAACTGGCAGAAAATGAGCTGGCGCCACACCAAACTCCAGCCCTCCTAACACACCCACCATCCGCAGTGAACAAGTCTGTATCCGTAGAAGAATGTACTTTCAAGTGGCTACCTACCTGCAAAAAAAATTCTGTAAATGGGTCGGGTGAAGCAGAGGAAACAATGGCATCGAAATAACAATGTTACTTTTATGCTATAGAAATTTGCCGCTTTCTGATATGAGAGCGCAAATAAGACTACACGAAAACTGATCTTTGCCACGGCGATGTTCCCTGATTGTGGGGAGGGGCATATTTCACGTTCGGCAGTTTCTTTGACTGGTATGAACCTGTGGTGTGAATAGGTATCTTAACTTACAGATCTCAATTGGTGAAAAAGACGCACTCTTGCGAAGCTCCCCAATGGCGCGCTTATAGCTAGGTCACACCGCTAACAGGAACTTTCCAGGCGTTCACAATCTAGCCCGTGTTAGCCTCGTCGAATTCCGCTTGTGCCTCCCCTACCCTCCCCCTCCTCTCGCCATTGAGCCCAAATACGCCGTGGGCACCATACAATAAATGTCGCTGACGGCAGCTCTACGCACTGGTTACCAGCTTGCACGACTAGCGAAATTAGATCCTTCCCGAAAACCTTTTTTGCGATCGAGTATTGTGGGCAGCGGGTGTTCATCTACGGACCAGTAGCTGATAAGTGACTCCCAGCTGAGAAAGAGGGGAAAACCTCTGGGAACAGCCTAAACAAAACCGCTCGCTGCCAGTCACACATGTTCATTGTACGAATCTGCGGACTTGCTAACGAATCGAATAAGACTGCAGCCTTTTTGCAACCCCTAGCTCACAAAATCGGTCTTCTGTCGCTCGTCAGTTGCTGAACCACCATCCAGTAATAGAAAGGCAAAAAAAAAAGCGGCTTTACTAAAAGAAAAGAAAAGGGTAGAATTACACAGAAAAGGGTGGAATTATATATATTATAAAGTCTCCTCTGCTGATGAAGCCTTTTTTAGAAGCGACACCCATTCTACTTCCATTCGGAATCGAAGTGGCTTTTGAATGTGGCCTTTGCCATGATTTGCTGTGTGTACAATGTATTTGTCGGTGTTTTATCCTTCTAGACGAATCTGGTACCAATTTACCGCTCTTGGAAGATAGAAGGCCTGGTTGGCGTGGCCGGGAGCTGATCCGGGGTTCGAACTGCGGGCCGCACGCGCGGCAGGCGTGCCAGTTCCCACTGCCACTACCGTTTCAAAATAGGGTTCCCATTTCCTGTCGATAAAATATCTCTGCCTTCGAAGGTATGAAGCAAAAAGTGGATTAAGTTGTGCTTCTTCGAGAGATCCTGGTTAAGACGATGGTGAATAGCTGGAGCAGGCACCGCCAACTAGGGCTGGATAGCGGCCGATTTCCCTGTTTCCCATGAGATACTCTTCACTGGACGTTCATCGCATAAACCCCTGAAATGAATCAGAATTGATGTTAATATTCAAAACAACATGAAATGCCTAGATAGTAGAAGATTTTATCAAACGTCCTTCATTTTTTTCCAGGATTTCAAGATTTTTAATCCTGTTCTTTCCGATTTCCAAAGGAATTCCCTGAGGAGAAACGGTGTGAAAATTGGGCGGTTTCGCGGTTTATTATACCCGGCAATGAACGCCAAATCTGCGATGCAAACACATAGCTACCGCTAGCCGAGAACTGACCGCCAGCCACCTGCCGGTTCAGAAATCAAACGTCGGTCGCCGCCACTTTTCGGTTGCATTTCATGCTCATTTCACTCCAGAGCATACTTTTTCTGAAAATAATGGTGCACAGTTGAATCAAGTGGTAATATACTCCTGCAAAATAGGCTTGGATGGGGCGAGGGGGGGGGTGTGGAGGGACTATGCTTTTTCGCTTCATCCCATTGTCGAGATCACTACATTACAATAGTTGACAGGTATTCTTTACAAGATCTGAAAGTGTTCAAGTGGTATCACTCCATGGATTCACAAGGTTGCACATATCTCCATTTGATGCGTCGACAGTCGCTGGGATGGGAAGTAGCGAAAGTGCAAAATGCTTCCCCCCCAAGCTGAACTGCGCCAATTTTTCAACGAATCTATGCCACACTTCCTGAATGTGCGCATGACCTTGGAAAGCATCGTTCTAAGTGGTACTCAAAGACATAAGGCACAAATTGTGTACTCGCTCAAAACTAGTAGCACGAGTGCTATGTAGTGAGGAAATGATGAAAAAGCGAACTTAAACGATCAAAGACCTGCGAAAAAGCCCTTGCCTTAGAGCATTTTTAGTCGAGTTTCCGGCTGGCATGGTGCCAACAACTGCTCGTGTACATTCATTTATCCATGTAGCAACGCTTACTATCAATTGTACTTCATAAATGAAGCGATAACCAGCCTCGATATGACGGTGCGGCGATTTGTGGGCGGGGGTGGGGGGAATGGGCGTATGAGTCGGCATGTTGTTTCTTTTTAGAGGCTTAAAAGGTGTCCTTGGTTGGAAAAGCGGCACCATGAGGTTGGTGCAAATGGTGCAACTGGTATGGGCGCCACTCTGGAGCAATAGCAGACGCAATGAAGCCAACTGCCCCAATCCAAAGCCGCTGAACTTATATTGATGACTAGCGAGACCTGATCCATTTCGATGACCAGATTCGCTGCGGCTACTGTTTTCGGTTGGTAACGAGTGGACTGTTGATGTTGATGCGTCGCTCGCAATTACGCAAAACATCACGTACCAAGAGAGAACAAGAGCTGTAGTTCAAACTCTCTCACTCTTTGAACTGGAACGTGCTCCAACTCATGATCGCCATTTCATTACGTCAGCGGCAAACAACGTCTGTGGTTCAAAGTCTGCGCACTTTCTCTCCAAAGGCCATCTCATCCTCTTGGCCAACGGCAGTTCTCGTTTTATAGAGTTCACTCGAACAGAGGAATTAGCTTACTTGTGA